GCCTCCTGACCAGAGGGAGCTTTGCCCTCCCTGGCACGGAGCTCACCGAGAAGAAGGCCCAGGAGCAGGGCTGGGGCAGCACGGGCAGCACCAACCCCTTCGCAGCCCCCGGGCTGCTGCTGAACATGCTGTCAGCCAGTGTCTTCTGCTGCAGGCTCCTGGGGGCCACCCACAGGCTCTTCCTGGGCCACGTGCCCTGGCTGTGGGCAGCTGGCACCTACCAGATTGGCATCTGTGTGCTGTCCTACCGTGCAATGGACGCTCTCATGGCCACGGCCTTTGGCTTCACTTCCATCCTCAAATTCGCTGCAGGTTACTGCCTCCTGTACCCCGCCTGGCAGCCAGAGGAGCCGTCTCTCCCAACCCCATTCCTGGTGGTTTTCTCCATTCTTTTTGCTGTCTTGGCTCTTTTTATCTCCCTTCAGAGCCCTGTGGATGGCCTGTACTTGCTGGTTTTTGTCGCCTACTGCATTGCCTTGGCTTGCAGCCCCAGGGGTTTTTTTGCAGGGGGCCCCCAAGGTGTGGCCGTGGCCATTTTTGTGTCCTCGGCCTCGGTGGCTCTGATTCACCTGTACAATGTGAGGGCCAGGGCCAAGATCCCAAGAGGGAAGGGGGCTGTGAAGGCCCTCCTTGCTCGCAGCAGCCTCCTGAAGCTCCGTGAGGGGCCAGACCTCCACGCTCCCTACCTGGGCTATTCCAAGTATGCCGATGCAGAGGTCCTTGCCTATGCCTGCAGTGTGCTGGCTTCTTTTGCTCTAACAGCCTCAGGAGACCCCCAGGCTCCTCTTGCCACCGTGGTCATTCCATGGGTGGTGGTAGCTGGTGGGATCCTGAAGCTCCTGGGTGGGTCAGTGGCCTTTGCCCGGGGTAAAACTTTGGAGAGCAGTGCCTTCATCCTCTACTCTGTCATGTGGATCATCTGGGGCCTGACAAGGTACAGTGGCCTCTGTGGCACTGCCAGAAGCTTCCACACAGCCGTGGGCATCATTTCCTTCATGCTCTTCAACAGCTTCATTGTCTTCTGCTCGCTCTTCTTAAACATGGCCTGGTTCTTCTACTCCCTCACGTTCATGCTCATCGCCGTCAGCTTCCTGCTGGATGCCATCCATGCTCTTCCCACTGGATACGACATCGCTGCCACCCTCATCTTTGGGCTGGTCAGCTTTTACTGCTTCCTGGCAGCCCTGGCCAGCAGCACCTTTGAGGGCTGCTGCTTGCCCATGGGGAGGCCCATGGTGCAGCTCAGTGGTGTCGGGGCAGGAACCACCAAGTGCCTTCACCTCCCTGCCAGGAAAGCTTCCTCAGTCAAGAGAATCGCAGGTAAGGGGAAAAGAGAGGACAGGATGTGGGGATAGAGGAGAAATTCTGGGAGGTTTTGTAGCAGAACACTCTTAAAAGAACATTATCCCAATCAGAGAATCACAGAATGGTTTGAGTGGGAAAGGAGCTTAAAGCCTATTTTGTTGCATGAGCAGGGACACCTTCTACTAGACCAGGTTGCTCCAAGCCCCATCCAACCTGGCCTTGATGTGGAAACCTGGATGATGTGGGGATGTTTTGGTGAAGTGGACCAAGTTACAGGAGTCATGAGCTGAGTAGAGCAGCGTGTCTCCTGCTGTGTCTGCTGCATCATTTCCCTGTGTCCTCATCTGCTCTGAGACCCAGCAATGCTCCAGGCTGGGGCTGCTACCCAAAGCATTGCATAGAGAGAGCAGAGCCAATGCTTGGTCCTTGCTCTCTCCATTCTGGCCCAGAACTCCCCTGAATGCCAGATATCCCCTTGGGAAAATGCACTGCCAGAGCTGGGACAAGAGGGGAGAGGAGCACACTGTGTGACAGTTCTGCCGTGGGAATTGCACCCCTCCCCTGTCACTCAAGGCTCGTGTCCTGTTTCTGTGCCCACAGATATCCTGAGGAACGGTGGCACCTGTGGCATCCCCACGGACACCGTGTACGTGCTGGTGGCCGCCTGCAGCCGGCCTGACGCCGTGGAGAAAGCTCACCGGTGAGTCCTGGCACCTGGGCTGGCCTCAGGAACCTTCCAGAACCCAGAGCTGCTCTGTGTGCTGGCTGCAGCACCCACTGAGAGCAAGGCAGCTCAGCCTCGGTGGGAACAGCTAGGGGGAAAGAAGATCCATGTGAGGAAAGGAGGGAGTTGAGCTGTGGTTGTGTTCTGGGACATTGAAGGCTGATGGAGATGGGTAACTTGGACACCACAAGAAACCCAAACCACTTCTGGCAAATGGGGCAGGGGGTTATTGTTCTTACTTGGAGGTACATGTTGCCACAACAAAACCCCTCTGGTGTAAACTGGAGCCCCTCATATTGGTAGGGTTTCCTCAGAATTTGGGCTGTTGGGACCTCTACCCATCAGCACACAAGAAGTTAAAGCCTTGATTTGGAAATAGACATTCCTGGTTGGGAGTAGCCATTAATGTTCCTTCCCATACAGTCCGTGGTTGAACAGTCCTACTTCTACTCCAGACTGGTGACGTGGGGCAGAGCCTGCACACCTTCTCTGAGCTCTAGACCTCTCCAGCAGTTTCCTTTCCTTGAATTTAAATCCTCATCTTCCAGCCTCACCTTTTCTTCCCTCCTTCCAGGTCCAAGCGCCAGGCTCAGGATCGCCCCATGTCCCTCTGGATTTCCAGCCTGAAGCAGCTGGAACCTGCCAAGCACTTGTTCACTCCCCTCCTCTGGGACTTCATGGAGGCTGCCTGGCCATCTCCCATTAGCTTGGTCATTCCCAGAGGTGAGGAAATGTTGTTAATTCCAAGCTCTCTGGTGAGCTTTGGGTTTGAAAATCCCAAAACTGTGAAGCCCTGCAACACCACATGTTCCATAGGGATATTCCCATTACAATCACCATGTTTGGGCTGATGTAAACCTCTAAGTGCTGAGTGACTGTGCTTGGTGCAGGTGAATGGGTGGATTTCCTGGGAATGAAGGACTCTGCCAAGTACGTTGGGACCCCTCAGAGTGTGGCCATTCGCATTCCCGACTGCTCTGTCACCACACACCTCATCGACCTGGTGAGTCCCAGCACCTCAGCCCCATGACCTGAGCCCTTCTCTGAGAGGGGCTGGGGCCTGCAGGCAGCTGGGAGGGATCTTATGGCAGCAAAGAGTGGAAAAGAAGCAACCACCAGGTCAGGAAATCAGGAGAATGCCCTTAACAGACGCAGTTTAATTTCCAATATAGAACCCTGTTGGAAGCAGAGACTTCTCTGAGGCCAGAATAACTTCAGAAGGTGCAGAAGGTGGCCACAGGAGCTGTGATACCCTGAGTGTTCTAGGTCTAGGCAAGTGCTATTGCTGGAAAGCAAGATGTCATTTCATGGCCATCATCACTAAACCCAAATTTGTCAGTGCAGTTTGGTGGGACTGTGGTTGCCTGCAAAAAAGGTGCCTCACCTGGGTGAGCCACACTGAGCTCTCTTCAGAGTCACAGATGGAGTTCAGAGCTTGAGTCACCTCTTTTATCCCCAAAGTCCTGCTCAGAGCTTTGACCCCTGTTTTTCCATCACCAGGTTGGCCCCATTGTGGTCACATCAGCCAACCCAACAGGAGAGGCTGACACGACCCACCACAACCAAGTGTATGCCAAGCTGGGAGATAAGGTAACCAAGAGATGGGGATGGAAAAGTGCAACCACTTTGTTTCCAGAAGGCAAATCAATAGATGGTATCAAGAATCTGGGAAAGCCTCTAACTCAAAAAATCTCATGGATGCTCCTCATGCTGGTGTCAAAGAGAAATTAAATTTTAAAGCACAGGTGTTGGTGTGAAACCAAAACTCTTCTGCTTTACACAGTGTAGTTACGGCTTGGCAATGTGAGTGGGTTCATATTCCAACACGGGATGATGGGAGCAATAAAAAATTCATTCTTGCTTACAGGAAAGCAAATCCTGGTGCCTGGATGTGCCAGGGCTCCAGCTAGCATTGGGCTGTGGGAGCTCAGGGATTCCCATCTAAGGCTGGTCTAAAACTGGTGCCAAGCTCCAAAATATTGCTGGCTGTTAGAGCTTTCATGGAAGTACCATGGTCATGGCCTTTCATTGTTTAGGTGGGAGATCAGGAAAGGCTCTGCCCCAGAGGGTGCTGGCACTGCCCAGGCTCCCCAGGGAATGGGCACAGCCCTGAGGCTGCCAGAGCTCCAGGAGCCTTTGGAAGGGTGGAATTGTTGGGGTCTGTCCTGTGCAGGGCCAGGAGTTGGATTGATGGTGCCTGTGGATCCTTCCAACTCTGGATGAGTCCATGATTCCAAGATTTCACTGCTGAATTCTGGGGATTTTACGTTTTGTGTCATCATGGCAGCTTTAAACAAGAGGTGGTGCAAATCTGCCACCTCTAACTCCTCAAAAATCAAAACTTCATACACATTCTCTTTGTGGATGGGAGTTCTCCAGAGCTCCTCAGCTGCTGTAAACCTGCCTGTGCTGTGCTGTAATGCTGACCTGCACCCACAGAGCCCTCCCTGTCCTTGCTTTGAGGTTCATTCCCTCCAAATCTAGCACTGGTGTCACTGCAGCAGGGCAGGAAGGAGCAGCATTGCCTTTGATGAGAATTATTTACTGTTGGGAGGGAAAACTCTCCCTTTCCAAGGGAAATTTGATGAGGAAATCTGCTGGTTTTAGGTGGATGCAGTTCTTTGTGCTGGGCCTTCTCCAGAGAACATTGCCTCCACCGTGGTGGACTGCACCAAGATCGACAGTGGGAGCATTGGATTCTTCCGAGTCGGCATCATCCCCAAGTCTCAGGTGAAATTCAGCTGGGTTTCATTTCCATTCCCTTTCTCCATTCAATGAGTTTCAGCCTGGGGCTTCCTAATTCAGTAAGGAGACCAAGAAGGCAGTGATAGCGCAAGGAGTTGTCCCAGGCTGGTGTGAGGGACAAGAGCAGAGCTCCATGCTTCTGTCCTGATCCTGCTCTGGAGCACCTCTGTGGAGCTGGGGAATGGGCAAGGTGGGGCTGATTCATCCATGGCTCTGAGATCCAGGGTCACAGACTTCTATGGAGCAGGCTCTCCATGTTCACCCATCCCAGAGACCTCTGAGAACAGATATTATTTGTGTCATCCTAAAACCGAGCTAGACACTTGAAAGAGAAGATCTTGAGGAAGATGTCCTTGCCCAGGGGGGAGAAGATCTTGTGGAAGGTGTCCTTGCCCCCTTAAGAGTCACTTCCAACCTGTTATTTTATGTTCTTTGATTATTTCAACAGCTGGAGAAGAAATCAGTGCTCTCCCCTAATTCCTAACCTACTCCCTGCTGTGTCTACTCATTCCAGGTGCTGCAGATCCTGGAGCAGGTGCAGAAGAAACACCTGGTGGTCCCTAGCAGTGGCCCTTGCCCCAGGAAAGGCTGGGAGGAGCTCCAGAGTCGTGGCCACGCTGTGCCCAACGGGGTGGGCAGAGCTGCCGTGGTGGAGCCGGACCCTGATCCCGATCCCGAGCAGCACACCCGCTTCTGACCGCCACAGCTCCGTGCTCAGTGGGACACCAGCTGCTGGAAAATGCCATTTTGGCCAAACCGGGCAATGGGAGAGGCTCCCCAGCTGCAGGGGTGCCTCATCCATCTTCCTATGGACTCTGCTCAAATATCCCAGTGCGGTGCTGCCTGGCACAGCCCAGGCACCCAGCAGGAACACCTTCCCTTGGGGACACTGCCAGCTTTCCCTGGAGATCAGCCACGGCCAAAGCAAGCTTTCCTTTGGTGACAGCTGGCCCAGAGTGACAGAGCTTCATCCCTGGCACTGGGAGGGAATTCCGTGGATTTGGGGCATGGAGTGAGGCCAAGCAGTGCAGAATTACCTGGTGGGGGAAAAACACTGCATGAAACTTGAATCACACAGAATCCTTTGGGTGGGAAAAGACCTCTCCAGTCCTTGAGTCCAGCCACCCTCCAGCACTGCCAGTGCCACCATTGACCCGTGTCCCCAAGTGCCACTCCACGTGGGGAAGGAGGAGGAGAGATGTGTCCAGGTGCTGTGCTGGTGGATCCAATGGGCTTGGCAGAGTCTGGGCTGGGAGCTGGGGGTGTCTCCTGCTGTGTCCTCTCCACAAGGGAGGTCATCTGTGTTTGACCCCTCTTGGGAGGTCTTTCCTCTGTTGGGAGAACCCAACACTCCAAAGAAATGCCCTGACCTGAGGTGCCATTTCTGTATTTCACACTCCGTGTCAGGGTGGAATTCCCATCTGGATGACTCCAATATTATATCCTTAAAGGTGCTGCAGCTTTAGGGAAGAGCCTCCCTTCCCGTGTTAGGAATTTCAGGAGGGCAATCTCCATGTGTTTGAGGATGCCAGGAGCTGGTCTCTTGCCTTACAGCCCAACTCTTCCCATCTCATGGCACGTTTCCTCCAGAGTGCAAATTCCATAGGATCAGAGGAAGGAATTCCATTCCAGGCAGTCACTTGTATTCTCCAGCTTCTCTGCAAGTTCCTGAAATGCAGGGAAGGAGTTGGAGATGTGCTCACCCATGACCTTACTGGCATCACTGGGACAGGGTGGGATGGCTCCTGGAGGGCAACAGTGGGAGGATGTCGACTTTTTAGGAAGGACAGGCAGTGTGGAGTGGTGGCTGCTGAGCAGGAGGAGTTGGGAAGGAGTCTCAAACCTTCGTGAGGAGTTTTCCTTGGCAAACACTGCAGTTATGGCTTGTTTCATCTCCAAAAACTGCTGGTCTTATTCTTACCTGACTCAGGTGCAAGGTGCTGATCAAACCCCAGCTGAAACCAATCCATTGATCATTGATTTCACCTGAAGCTGTGCTGGAATTTGAGGATTAAAGTGGTGCAGTCGGAGGAGATCAACCTCGATGAACTCTGGCAAAATGGGGTCTCCTCAACTTGTCCTCACAGAGCTGGCTCTCTTCCTGCAGAGTAAATTCCAGAGAATTAAGTGTGTTCAATAATTTTGCTGATCTACTTCCTGTATCTCCTTGGAGTTTATTAAAACTGGTTTTTAGAAAGCAATAAAATATTTTCAATAAACAGATCTCACACAGGGCTGTGCAATCATGAAAAAACCTTGTGGGGCAATGGGTTCTAGATGTTGATGTTCCTGACCATGCAGGATCCAAGCAGGATGTCAGGAGGAAATCCAGTTGTGACACTTCCAGGGTGGGGAGAAGGAGGGAGGGAGAAGATAACTCCTCCCAGCAGCTCCTGGTACCAGCTCAAAAATGCCAAGGCTGAATTTCACCCCTTGATCACTAAAAAAACCCAATAAACATCAAAATATGAGGGAACGTGATAAGGAGTGGAAATTTGAAGAGGTGCTGAGGCATCACAAAGCCTTTTGTTTAGGGAAAACTGCCCTGGCTTAAATATACTGGAGGTGCTGCTGTCCTGTGCCGCAAATAACGATTTTTTTAGTGTGGCACAAATTAAAAGTGGCTCAAGAAACTGTGTTCTTCACTTGATGCTTCCATCTGGATCTGGTCTGGATCCATTTTTCCTCTTTGCCTCCATATTTTTTTTGTTTTTATTCACAGAAAATGTTCGTTTCAGTCTCGGGACACTGTGGGAAGCATTTCTCACTTTGCTGAAGTGAGACAAGGAGAGGTTTCATTTCAGGCATGATCTTACCCCACCCACAGCTCCCCTGTGTACCAGCAAGCCAGAAAGGAACAGCTTAGGGAAAAGGGGATTTAAGTGGGATCTTTCACTTAAATCAAGGCAAAAAATATTTCTACTATTTCAACAGTTTCCCAGCATTTAAGGGGAAGCAAAACATTTTTGAAGAGAAGTGGAGAGATGAAGAAAGTTTCTTTTTTAAGTGGCAAATCCAGTCAGAAAGGGCTGAGATAAACATTTGAATATTGGAATACATGTGCTGAAAAATCACAGATCAGGTGTATTTTGGGCTATCAACAGGAGTATTTTCATCACTAAAACTGGAGGTTATGGTCAAAGAAGGTTGTCCAGGCTCCTCAAGGGAGAGCCTCACGGAGTCCTTCTGTCCTGCTCAAGGGGAAAGAACTGCTCCCATGTTCTGGACAAGAGGGACAGGAGGGGGTGTGAGGTCCTCAGGCCTGCACCACAGGAGGAGGGAAACCAGAAGAGGCTCCTCTGAAACCAATTTTGGTTGCATTGTCAATGTCTCGGAGATCTTTAGGCCTGAAAGGTCACCCTGGGAGACAAAACAACCTCATGAATGGGGCTCTTTGTGAACCAGCCAACTCTGCAATCCCACTGGGGCTGGAAACAGCCCGGGAAGAAGGGCTGTCCCACCTTCCTTCTGCCCTTTGTGGAGTCTAGACATCCGTGTCAATGGAAAAAAGCTTAAATAAGGATGTAAAAGAAGTGTATTTTCCAGTGGCAGGAAAAAGCCAGCTCACCCTTCGAGAATAGAGCGGTGCCGTGGGGACAGGAACTGACTCAGTGCCACGGCCAGGACGTGCCGTGGGGTGGGTGCGCCCTGCTCGGGGTGGGCAGAGCTCCTGCGAGGGGAAGGGCGGCCTCCCAACCACGGCTGGGGCCACACCAGCCCGGCAGAACCCTTGGGACACAGGCAGGAATGTCCCTTGGCCACTTGCAACCTGCAGGAACTGGGAGCTCGGGGAGATGGGAACATTGGATGGTGCTGGAGATGACCTTGGAGATGTTCTCCAACCTTATCGATTCTATGGTTTTGTGACTCTTCTCTTATGTTCCCAAACATACATAGAATTAACCCCAGAACTAACCCCCCCAAAAAACCCAAACAAAAATACAAAACATGATGATAAATCATCAACCAATCACCCACCAAATTTTACCTTCTTGTAGCTTATATAAAGCATGATACTGAAGACGTCAAGATGGCTGCCACACACACCCAAGGACAAAAGACTTAGTCCTAACCTTACTGTTAGTTTTGCTAGGTATACCTGAAGAGTCAAAGTCTGCCTGTGCCCTGGGATGGGGTGTGGGGTGGAGGAAAAGCTTGGTTGGGTCATCTTCAGTCCAAGCCAAGCCCAGGGATCTTGGCAGGGTTGAGGGCACAGCTTCTGCGAACACGGCCTGCAGTGGGTTCTTGTCACGCTCACCTCGCTGCGTTCTTCCTGCTGCTCCTCCCTTTCTCAGCAGCAGCCTGGGGTTATTCCTGCAAAATCACCAGATAATCAGCTCTGTCAACAACAGAGAAACACCAGGGTTCAAAATCCTGGGGCAGGTTTTCAGCTGGGATTTGCCACCTGAGAGGCTGAGCTAAGCACCCTGGTCTGGGGCCATCCTGGGATCCCCTCATTCCTGCCAGAGGGAATGCTGGATTTAGAGATGGCTGGGTGACAGCAACGGGGCCCTGAACCAAAGCAAAAATTAACTTTTAAACCCCAGAATCCCAGACTGTCTGAGGCTCAAAACTCATCTCATTCCACCCCTTGCCATGGCAGGGACACCTTCCCCTGTCCCAGGTTCCTCCAAGCCCCAGTGTCCAACCTGGCCCTGGACACTTTGTCCTTTGCTGTGCATCTCCCTTGCTGTGACTCTTGGTGCTCCTGGAGCTGCCTGCTGTGGAACAGCAGAGAGAACTTATCTCCCTAGGGAATAGATGGATTATGTAGAAAATCTTGCAGGAAAAACCAGCCTTCTGGAAATCCAGTTTTTGAGACTTAACAACAATTAATGGGATTAATTAAATCCAGTTGTGACTCCATCATGTTCTTCCTTTCTGCTTCCCCTCTGATTTGAAGATTTCCATCCCCTCTTTCTGCAGGGCACTGCCAGCTGGGGCTGAGGGAGGAGAGGGTCTGTGGGAGCTGCATCCCTGGGCAGACCCTGGTGTGTTTATGGGATCACTGGATTCCCCTGCTCCATTCCCATGGATGCTACCCCTCTCCCCCTCCTTCCCAACCCTACCATTGCTCCAGGCCCTCCTTCCCTTGCAAAACCAACCAAGACCTAATTGGAAGCACAGGATTCTCTTATGGGAATTAGAAATGGCAAAAGAAGTGAGGAATAAGGAAGGGATAAGGAAGGAGCAGACATGGAAGCTCACTGCTGTTTTGGAAGTCAAAAAAGAAACCGAGTCCAGGTGGTTGGACTGATGCTCCCAGTGCCAGCAGATCCAGGGGATAACAGAGCAGGCAGGGCAGGAGGTTGTGTGGGGCTGGATGGGGAGGTCTGCCCTGAACGTCCAGTTCAGCAGCTCCAATAAATACCTTGAGTGAAAATCTCGTGTTAAAGGGTCAGCATTGTCAGTTCTTGTGAGAACTTTTCATTCCTTCCTGGAAAACACACAGAGATCTCACTCATGTTGTTATCTTGTTCTAGATAGCAAAACCCAGGAATTTCAGCAAATTCTTCTGCTCTGGCCACGAGATGGATGTCAGGGCTGGGACAGTTGTCCCAAGAGAGAGAGGTTCATCTGTCCCAGCAGCTGTGGAACAGTCACTGAGGTCCCTCCAAGGCCCAGGCACCTCTGAGGAGCCTCATGTTCTCACATCTTCTGCAGAAGAAGATTCTCTGACCATCTCTCTGCCTTGGCTCTGTGCAGTTCTCATGGTCCCATCCCAAATTTAGAGACATGACTGGCATTCCTTGTTCATCCAGGTGATCACCTCCTCATGGGGATTCCCCATGTGAGCACCTCCATTCTCATACCCCACTTTCATGTGCCCCACCCAGCAGGAAGTAATGTAGGCCCTCTGTGAGGTGTTTTTGTTCTTTTTGCGAGGAGTTTCAGTAAATGCCCAGCCCCAAATGCCTTCCCTGACACAGCACCAATTCCTGAAGCGCTGCAGCCTCTTCCTCCTTTGGTCTCCCACACATCTCTGCTGGTTTACACCACACAGCTGTTGTCTTATCTGCTGAATCAACCTGGATTCAGGTGATCATTCCCACTGCTGTGGGTTCCAGCATGACTCAGTGAAAACTCCCAAAGGACCAGGATATGTCCTGGTTTCCTTTCAGGAGTTCTTTAGAACCCGGAGGGTGGGTGGGTATCAGCAGCACTGACCCTGCCCCAACCACCCTCACCTTATCTCCTCAAAATTCCCAAAAGTCCCCAAACCACCTCTGGCATCCTGTGCCTGCAGCCTTCCCAAGGTCCCTGTTGTCCCACACTGGGTTATCAGATCCTGCATGACCCAAGGGGTCCCACAGACCCCTCTCCCCCTCCTTCCCAACCCTACCATCGCTCCAGGCCCTCCTTCCCTTGCAAAACCAACCAACTCCTAATTGGAAGCGCAGGAATCTCTTGTGGGAATTAGAAATGGCAAAAGAGGTGAGGAATGAGGAAGGGATAAGGAAGGAGCAGACATGGAAGCTCATTGCTGTTTTGGAAGTGAAGAAGAAACCAAGTCCAGATGTTTGGACTGATGGTTACCAACCCCAGCAAGTCCATGGCTCCATGGCTGCTGGGATGTGGGGCACTGTGACCGTGTTCACAGGGTTCTTGGATAAGGGAAGAGACGAGGATCTGACTCCATGTTTCAGAAGGCTGATTTATTATTTTATTACATATATTACATTAAAACTATACTAAAAGAACAGAAGAAAAGGTTTCATCAGAAGGCTGGCTAAGAATAGCAAAGGAAAGAATTATAACAAAGGTTTGTGGCTCAGCTCTCTGTCCATGCCAGCTGACTGTGATTGGCCATTAATTACAAACATCCAACATGGGCCAATCACAGATGCACCTGTTGCATTCCACAGCAGCAGATAATCATTGTTTACATTTTGTTCCTGAGGCCTCTCAGCTTCTCAGGAGGAAAAATCCTAAGGAAAGGATTCTCCATAAAAGATGTCTGCGACAGGGTACAGGCTCCTTGGCCACAGGAACAGCTGAGCTGGGCTTCCCACAGACATTCAATGGTGATCCTGTTCTCCAGCTCACTTCCAAGGTCTCGCTCAAAGACCTGAGATGGGAGTCAAGGGAAGGTGGAGGCCTTGTCCAGGTCTCCTCATTGCTAAACCTTAACATGGAACAGCAGCTCTGGGGGTTCACATCTGAGCAGCCTGGCCCAGTGGAGCTGTCCCTGCC